TTCAGCAGATTCTCAAAAGCACTCGTCGTATCCAACCAATTATCAACAGTTTTCTTATTCGCGCCTACACCAAGGAGATCCTGTTTATGTGGTATTCTCAGGTGTTCTTTATCACCGGTTTCATTGACGCCAAGTCCTTTACCGGGTGTCCATCCCATTTTTGAGAGCATTTTAAAGCCAAACTTTGATCGATCTTTTATGATTATTTCAATCGTTATTATTTTTTTAATGGATTCAAGCAAGTATTAATTTAAAAACATAAGTCTTACACAGTCACGCTCTTTACAATGTACCTCCTTTATAATGGAGACTAATATCTAAAATTATCTATAGTTCGAACTTGTAAATCTACCTCAATTTAGTTAATTTTTTATTATTATTGATACACGATAAAGAGAGTCACTGTGTGTTGTTTTTCAAGAGGAAATCAAATTTTTACTAAGGCTGCTGTTTGATCCATTCTACAATAAAAACATACCATTACTCCATGTTAAATTCCTTGGATCAGAAGGTATACGTTGTTTTATTCGTGGTCCTGCTAAACCCATATTTTATGATAGCATGAGCTTCGATGATTATCGTTGACCGTTAATTACTTTGATTTACTCGATATTTGATATATATAAATCCTACTCAAAACAGCGCATATACCGCTCTATAAGCAAAATTTTTTTTTTAATAAAAGAAATTGATTAGAGTTAATTACATGATTTTTAATTTTTATGTCGATCAATTTTTTTTTTCTCACGATAAAATTTACATAAAAAAAGAGGTTAACATTTTGGCATGTAGATGTTAGTAGAGATACTTTATAAAATTCAATATATTATCAAAAGTATAACTTTGAATTCTAAATTAATAAGAAAATAAGTTAAGTATTTATTAGAAGTTATTGATTATCTAAATAATTATCAAATACATCTTATTAGAGCATCTAGATTCTCAAAGTAAGGATTAGCATTAATAAAGCTATCAAATTAAAAAAGATTGAATCTTAGTTATCCACAAAATATAAATATTTCATTGGAAAATATGAGAAGAATAGATTAAAAAAAGATAATACAATTTGCTACCTGTTTGCTAATGCAAAATAGAAAGATGAAATGGAAAATTAGAAATATGTAATAGATCTAATATTTTATCTTTTATTCATAAAATCTGTAAAATTATAATAATAAAAAATAAGTTAGTTTTATATTATCTTTTTAAGATAATGAATTTACATTAAAGTGAAGATTTATATAAGAAGAGCTTATATTAATAAATATAAATATCTTGTAGTATTTATCTCAAAGTATACTAAAAGAAAATATTTATTTTAGATTTATTAATTTTATTTATATTATTAATAAAATAACTAAAGCTATTACATATATTGAGAAATATAATGAAAAATATCTTGATAAAACTAATTAAATAAATAATTTTGATATATATCTTTGATTTTATAAAAATAAACTTTATTAATGAAAAGTATCTTATAAGATTCAGAAGTATAAATTTAAGTATTATTTAATTTGTTTTTACTATACTAATAAAAGATATTATAGATATATTTTTAAAGATTTGTTAGATAAGAAATTTTTATCTTATAAATTATCATTTTTAAATAAGATATAATTAAATAAATATAATAAAGAATTAAAATTGATATTTAAATTCTAAGGATCTTAATATTTTTTTAAGAATCTAATATTCTATAAGTAAGATAAGATAAACTTAGATAAGTAAAAAAAGCATAATGAAAAAAAGTTGAATATATATATTTAAGAAGATATTATATTAATTCTTATATTATATAATTATGATTTGTTTTTCTATATTTATATTATATTAATTAAAAAAAATTATCTAAATAACTTATTAAAATAAAAATAATAAAATATGATGGCTATCAAAAATAATATAATGCTTAAATTTTTTATTAATTATAATTAGTAAAATACATAATATTTCTTACATATAAAAGTTTTTAATTTTATTAACAAATATTTTTTATTTTTATTTCAAAAAATAGCTAAAGTTCTCTAGTTTAACATATATTTTTTTTGGATTTTTCAGATTTTTTACCAGCAACTTTTTCTAATTGCATATGAAGTCAATTAATTTTTATTAATTATTAATTAGTAAAAATTAATTAACTTTATATGCAATTAG